TCAAGCTGAAAAACATCCCCCGCGTGGGGGTAAAACCACCCCTATTGCCGAAAACCGGCGGCAAATGATGTTCCCTTCATGAATTGCCTTTTTTGTGCCACTCTTCCTTATAAATCCAAATGATATGAAATACATGCCTCCATAATTCGTTCTTCTGTCGGATTTTGATCAGTTACCCCTACTGAAGGGGTGGAAACCACCCCTAAAACAAGAAAACAGGAAAAAATGGACACCAAAATCTGGGTAAAAATTGGCGGAATTCCACATGGCAAGGGTAACATCAAGAATGCCCTCCCAAAAATGCTCAAGGTGAAAAACACCTCCCACGTGGAGTGGGTTTATCATGAGCATTTTTAGATGGACATTCCTGATTTTACCCTTGGCATGTGAAATTCCCCAATTTTACCAAGAATTTATCGACTATTTTCTCATTTTTCTTGTTTTAGGGGGTGGTTTCCACCCTTTAAGTAGGGGTAAGTCGGGCAAATATTGGAAAAATCGAATTATGCTCACCTAGATTTTTCATGACGATCAATTTAAGCCCACGGAGACCTCTGTACAACCTTCCCCGTTCTTGCTACACACTACGCAAAAACTGGCGGATTTTGTCAAAGTTAACAACATGAAAATTCAATTGTACTTGTTCTTCCGGAAAACTATTATGATTCCCTATCTGCATTCCTGAATGATAATGAGGTGCCACTAGTTCTTGCTGATGAAATATAATTTTTAAAATTTTCAACTTATTGACGATGCTTTCCTCGAAATACCTTTCAGCCACACTAGTTGACTGCCATCATCCAGTTTGCAAAACTGTTAATGCCTACTGGTTGTACTTACCGTAATTATTAATTAATTATTTTTGTTATTACTATTATAATTTTTATTTTATACTACCCATTCTCGAATTAGTTTGGGTTGAATGGTACGGTTAATAAATAACTAATAATTCTTTTGTAAAAATATGCTTAGCCTTTGAACGACACTGCTTGGTAACCCTGAAAAAGAATTCACTCACTCCTATTTACTTTCACGTGGTATCTCATACACGCGTATTTCATTTAATATAAAAGATGTTAGTAATGTAGATTGAGTGCTCGAAACCATGATAGAATTGCGGAAATTAAAATTATTGTATTAAAAAGCCATTAGATTAATGGCAATAAACCTCGAGTGTAATACAGAATGAGAGTATGAGTTGTTTTGAAGGCAGCGCTAGATACTTATAAACACATATATAATTCTAGTTCTGACCACTACCATGGTAACAAAAGTATATATTTGAATGCTTTTAGAATTCTGATATAAACAAAAATAAAAAATATATACTCAAAATAACTTTCCTCGTAAATTATACCGAAAAATATCAGGATAATAATAATCAAATCGTTAAGTTTGGAAAAACTTTAGATGTTGTTTATACATGATAAGAAAGAAGTCGAAATATCAAATTTTATTGGTGGATACTGTTTACTATGAACGATAATATTAATAATAATAACAATACTTAATAGCTGTGTCAAAATCTCTACGCTGAGGTGCAATGTGAATCCAGTTAATCTGACAGAACAAGAAAAGTGGTCTGTTTTAAAGATTAGTATCCATGTATCCATCCTTGTGTATTTTGAGGCGCTGAATCTGAATCCAGGGCAGCATTTAAATCGCGAAAAACTACCTTTAAATACAAAAAATACCGAAAATATCCCTTTGGAGGAATCGGTATTAGGTATAATTGTAGAATCCGACTGAAAATGACTGCAGGAACATGTTTATATGTATTTTGATCTTTGATGTTTGAAACTGAATCCGAATCCGACAGGACCATATCTACATGTATTTTGACGTGCTAAAACCGAATCCGAAGTTGAAATTATTCTATCACCCTTCAGTATTTTTATACCGTGCAATATAACCCTAAAATCTGGGAAATTCCTTCTCAGATAGATGAACTTCAGCCATTTGATGCCCGCAAAGAGAGATGAGGTATTCAAAGATGTGAACATCGTTCCTAAATAAAAAATGATGTTTTTTTAACTTCCTTTTCTTTTTATAACAAACTCTTTTATCTTCAAATGATCAATGCATCTTTCTCTTTCCTGTGGTTTTGGCTCGTTTTTTCCTTTTACGCATCCAGCAGAAATCTGTCATCATGTTTAATATCTCGCCTTCCTTGATACCAACGCTCCATTTCCTTGACATCATGGTGAAACCGTTCACCCTGGTATTCGCTGTAGTCTTCGAGATTCTCCGGAAAGTAGTCAAGGTGAATGTCAAATAAATGCTATTTGGAGTTCATCAGGCAACTGTTTGAAGTTTTCTAACAATTCCTCAACTAAATTCTGGTAATCCACATCCTTCTTATTCCCCAAGAAATTCTGAGCGACTCTCTTGAAACTTAACCATGTTGCTCTTCATTTTTGTGATAAATTGTTGGTCTCTGAACACGGTACGGATTTGAGGACCATCGAAAATACCTTCTTTCAGTTTAATATCACTTATTTCCAGAAACTTCTCTTCTAAATATTCAAAAGAGTCGCCATCTTTGTCCAAAACTTTAACGAACTATTTCATGAGACCAGGTTTAATATGAAGAAGTGGACGCAGAGTATTTGACGGATCAACTAAGGGTTCACGTATCTACGATGTTTTGCAACCCTGGATGGAAATCTGTTATGTTTGGTCCTACTTTCTGTTCATAGTAATTCTTTCTGTCTCTAGTATCCTGTATATATAAGAAACAGAGATGAAAGATGAAGTTGGGCGTCTTCTTGGTTTGAAAAATAATTTCCATATTTTCTGTATTTAATGGTGGTTTTTTACTGTTTCAAAAAATAGAGGGTGATAGAGCTATTCTGGTCTCGGATTCGGATTCAGTGCGTCAAAATACATATGGATACATGGGTCTAATCTTCAGAACAGACCCCTTTTCTTTTTTTTTTCTTTTTTTTGTGGAACTCTAATCAAACAATAAAAAATGTAATTAAAGTGAATTTAAATGTAAAAGAATTGAAGATTCCTTCGTGAAATGTCCACTTAACTACTCTGGTTTTTGTTTTATAAAATTACATATGGCCATTTGCATTTTTTTTTGTCTTTGAAACGGTTTTAATTTTACATTAATAATGCATATAACAAGTTTTTTTTTGAGTACTCAGTAATCACGAAATAGGTATCTACCTACCCGTTTCAGAGATTCAATCACACCATAATATTATCATAATTATTACTGCGCAAATTTCATTCAAGATTTTATCTGTAACTCATATACCGATGTAATAAATAAATCGTAGTTTTTTTTCTTTCATTTTTTATGTGCAGGCGACTTTAGTAGTATCTCCTGTGTTATTTTATTTACCGTGTCTTTGTGTTGCATATTACAATTTTTTTTTCTGTATACTATCTAGGTACATCTAAAACAAGGCCACGTGCTCCTGAACAAATTGGGCATACTAATTAGCAACGTTGTAAATCAGTTCGTTAACCAGATAGGCTGATGTTGAATACAAAAATATTGTTAATGACCGAGATGTTATTTTTCTGTTTGTAGTTTGTATTAATGTCCTTGTCGACATCAGTTGCATGTATATCGATTATTAAAATACCGGACTTGCTGGTGAAAACAAAGCTTAGGTCTTTTTTATGTAAATAGATGTATTAGTCATGATTGGTAAGAAACATACATTAGAAGTAATTTTTTTTCAAATATTTATTGATTCTTAAAACAATAAAATATCAAAGTAACCAAAAGCCATTTTTTAAAAAATTGAGTTTGTGCCATGAAAGCATGTTAAATACTAGTGATAATTAGTAGCAGTTTCTATATATGTCCATTTGATCAATTACCGTCCACATAAATATATGATAATAAACTAAGAGTACTACATTGTCAAAATATTATATTTATAAGAATATATTCGTATTTTTATCGTAAGAACTTTATATTTATTATGTAGTAGCCATGGGGGACAATTTCTAAACTGTCCTCGGTTTGTATTCGTATCGTTAACAGGTTGGAATGCAGTAGACATATATACGTAAAACATGGAAATGAAAGAGAAAGAAAATTAGAGCAGGGACATTGTTTTACCACGAACTGTCACGAAACAATCCGATATCGATAGTCAATCGTCGATTCTTGCCATGTCTCTTCTTCATGTGCAATGCATTGCATTACAATATTTATAGTCTAGTGTAAATAGGGTTGTTGATATCAGCAAAAAATATCGATAATTATCATTATCAGTATTTGCAAAATGTATTGTAACTATTTAATTTTCAATGTATTGTAAAAAAAATATCGATATTATTCTCGCAAAAATATTGGCTTCAACCTCGCTTAATAAATAATTACTCAATAAATTACCTCAATTTAGTAGCTCTGAAAATTAAAAAAATATCGTATTCCAAAGTTATATTTTAATATCGATATTTCGATATAATGTCTCATGTCTCAATTATTTCATACAGATTGAATGAAAGACTAAAAAAAAGTTTTCTCAAGACATTTTCAAATTAACTAAAAAGGAATATTCAGATATAAACTAGTTAGAACTGAATGATAGTTAAAATAGGTAATGTTTTTATAATGGTGAAGGCGTAATTGCTGGTACTGTTTATAAATAATAACTTAGTTTCCGTGAATGTGTGAAATTTTACAAAATTTTGTGTATCCTCCCTATGGAGGAAAGTAAGAAATATAATGAGACAAGAAAGATTAAATGCTTTAGCTACCCGTAGTATAGGATAATCGTTGATAAAGCAGATAAATAACTTCAACAAGAAAGTTATTTACTACAGCGCATCTCAAATGAATCGATAAATAAATCATCTGCTAAACCAAGAGAAACATTTTTAGACATTTTCTACAAAATTAATTTTTTAGCACATACCCCCTTAAATACTTCAATGAATTGGATTTTGAGTGCTCTGCCTATCTTTAACAAATAATTTTGTATCCTGTCAACGTATCATGTTACTTTAACTATATTTTCTTGTTCCAGGGCTCAGCTTAGACCAAAATCTATCCATGGGGCCCCTAGGGCCGCAGTCACCATTGGAAATGAAACCGGACGCTTCCACTCTAGGCCAGTTTAGTCCCCAAGGTCCGAACAGTCCAGGATCGTTCTCTGTCGGTCATGCCGGTCTACTCAGCCCTTCTTCTGGAGGACAGAAGGGTGCTACCTCGCCATATCCCCCCAACCATCCGCTGAGTGGTTCCAAACATCTGTGCTCGATATGTGGGGACAGGGCCAGTGGAAAACATTATGGAGTTTATAGGTGAGTTGTTGTTGTGATTGCCTCTTGATATTATCCTCAAAATCGTCTCACCTTCCTATTGCGATTCCTAGAAATGAGCACCAAGCTTCTATGTTTAGACTTTAGTTCAAGGGTAAAAACAAAAATAAACTACTAGGTATATAAGAAGAAATTGATATTCGAACAATAAAATTCAAAAAGTGGATTTATGTCTTCTAAATGAAACATTGGAACTATCGTTCAAAAATATAAACAAGGATATGAAGTTACAATTTTGCAGCAGTTGTAACATTGGTAGTACACATTTTTTGTCATAGCATTGTCATGTATCAATTTGATGACGTCCTAAGATATATATATATAAAGACACATGCTTTATGAATCGTTTCTGATATCGAAAATTATTTCCAGGCTGACATGTATGAGGAAAAGTCATTAATAACATTCATTGTCTAATGGCATGTTTTTTACAGAAGTTGTTTGTATGTTATTTTTTACATAGTTCTTCTAATGCATGGTGTACTTACTACTTGTGGAAGTACTTTGAAAAGCGTTTTGATGCATCAACATTGCAGCACTTCAAGTTGTCTCTCTTCAGTAAACTTCTAACTCTTTCAATGTTCTTTGGAAAGTCCAAGCAAATGAGTCTAATGGAGCCAAGTTTGAACAGTACGATGATCAAATTTCAATGAAATGTATCTCATACGAGTTAGCATAAGAACGAACGTTATTTTGAGGTATTTGTAGTGTTTTTTTGAGCGAACTTCTGGACTTTACGATTCGCGAGCTTCCACTTGTTCATTGGGATATCATTGAGATGCATGAACAGTGAATAGTGGGATTCAAGTCAAGACCAGACTAAAGTCGAGTCCCGAGTGGAAAAGAACAAAAAAAACATGTCGCTATATCGATCGAAAATGAGATAATTAAACAATCACTGTTGTTTGATGACTTTTCTTTGTCTATCTAATTATTTTTGAGAAAAAATATGGTATAGCATAAAACATCGATAAACCCTTCAATTGGATCATTAAATTTTCATAGACTAAATCAATTCCTGGAAAATGAGTTAGTAACCTTTAACGTATAATTTTTAATGAACGCTTTAAGTGTTTAGCCGAGTGTATGTATATATTTACCTTTATTTCCATTCCCATTACCGATAATTACAGTGAAGATGATAAATAAAATTATAATGAGGCAAAAACTGACAGCCGCCTTCGCTTTGGCGTAAAAAATATCTGCGAGCAACAAAATACTTCCGACTTAACAAACAACTCCCACCAGATGACCAATTCGTTCAGCTTTTTTTTGACGAAAGACTGAAAAAATATTGATGAACGTCGAATAAATTATCCAAAAATATCTGGCCAGGGCTTGGTGGCTTCGTCATTCCTAAGCTGTGTGTGTTGAGGAACGTAGTACATAGGCAGGTATCAGGTACTAACCGCAGAAGTGGAATTATGTAAATGGTATCCTGGGTCTGATCCGTTCAAGGTCACTGGTCACTCATAACACGTGAAGAAGGTTTATTAGGCTTGCCGAAGTAATTATCACCGGCAGAAAATATTGATCACGTTTATGAATGTTTTATGAGATAATAGATTTGTTTTTAACAATGGAAATGCTTGTGTTATGTCATTCAGAAATAATTGAATAAGCTTACATTTTAATTAACGCTTCTAGTGGGTACAAAGCGATGACGGTTTTTTTTTTGAGTTGTTGTATTCTAACGCAGACAATCACGATAGTGTTCGTGTTATTTCTTTGCGGCGTTATTGTTTACTGCGGACGGAAATGCAAAAAATAAATGAAGCTTTACGTAAATCTAATTATATTGTGGTTTCTGAAGGTAAAATTCAAAAAACAACGTGTATTTGTCGCCAGTGTTATTGAAAAAATAAATATATATTTCCACTGTTGTAAGGAGTAAATGATAATAATAAATAAATTGCCAATGTTCATAATCACAGAGAAATTCCCAAATACTAAGAATTTGTCATACACTATTCAGCCATCTTTATTATGTGGTGTCGTAAAAACATCTCCTTTATCAAAAGAAATATGTAGATATTATTGTAAAATGTCAGAGGTTCATTAAATATAGATCAATTTTCCTAACTGTGTAAATGGTAATTCTTTTTTTGGTTGGACTGCTACAAATTTCCGATTGATATTATTTGAAACGAACAATTTTGTTAAGAAAAAACTTTTTGTGTTTTATACGTTGCTTTCACTCGATATTTCAGTGATATAGGTGACATATTTCAGATAGAAAACTAAAAGAACTGGTATTAGTGGAATGTCAGAATGTCACTTTTGGTATATTTTTCAAATACATTTTGGAGAGCGGAATTTGAATTCAGAAAATATCTACTTAATTCCAGAATTCTCACAAAATGTTTCAACAATGATTACAAAAATTGGGGTTCTAAAGTGCAATAGAGTCATGGTAAAAAATGAAAAATTGTATTAAATTACAAAAAAAAATAAACAGTTCCTCTAGAATTACTTATTGTGAAGCAAGGCAAGTTTTAGAGATATGGCTTCAAGAAGACCACAGAATACTGGAGAATCCAAGAAAAGGATAGTCTCAAGAGAAAAAATTGTCGAATATTAATAAAATTAGATTTGAGGAAATCTCAAGACTTTAACGGGACATTGTCAATCAACATCTCTACAGTGTGAAGTTAGTAGAAGAGTCTACGTTGCATAGCTGCATAAAAACGAGAACTTTGCACGCCTAAGATTCAGCCTCCATGGTAAATCTTTCTTAAATTCAAGGGGTTAAGGGAAATATCGGCTAGCAAACTTTTGGACTTGTACCGAGAACAAATTTGCTAAGCGAATAAACTGACAGTTTAGATAAACAAATAAAATCCTTCATACAATAATATATTTGATAACTGTCGGACATAATCATAACACAGGCCAACAATGAAAAAAACCCAGAAAGCAGACAATATCTCCTCAGGTTTTTGATGCGCTGAATCCAAATCTGGCCTCAGAATTGACCCATCACCCTAGATTTCCGAAATATTCTAACCTAAATGTGTAAAAAAAACGGTTTTTTGCTTTATTCAAGGTTATATGACATCGCGAATAAATTTTTTTTCAAAAATTCAATTACACCACTGAAAAGTAGAATCTTTACCCTTCAAAACCTTTCTTTCGATTTGAAAAAATATTCATTTTTCGCCAAGATATCGTTAATTGGAAATTACTACTTCAGTTACTTTCTTACACCATGGCCAAATTAAGAAATTTGTTAAGAAGCAGACATAACGTATTTGTATGTTTTTTGGGTCGCTGAATTCTAATCTAACCTCTATATTTTCCTTAAGTTAATTTTTCGAAACTTCAGAGTCTGTCGGTTATAGTGTACAACGGTTTATAACCTTAGCTTGCCGAAATTCATGCATCTTGACCTTTTAGGTTAGGAAATCTAAAAAACGTGAGGTCATTGAAAAAATTTTGAAAGGTAAAGATTAATTTTTCAGTGGTGTAATTGATTTTTTGAAAAAAAAAATTATTCGCGATGTCATATAACCTTGATATTGCAAAAAAAACTTGTTTTTTACACATTTAGGTTAGAATATCGCGAAAACCTAGGGTGATGGGTCAATTCTGAGAGATTCGGATTGAGCGCATCAAAAATCTTCGGGGACGTATTGTCTGCTTTTTAGGTTTTCCTTTTTTGAAATTTTGTCGGCTTGTGTAATTAATCTATTCTTTCTAAAATAAAAATTATTCTCAAATATAATTGAAGTTTTTCCACATTTTCTAAAATTTAATTGACTAATCTGATATAATGAATGATGATAATAAAATTAAGTTTTTAAACTAATGATCTGGAAAACTACAACTCTGCGGCTTTTAGTTCCTTCCAGCATTGAATTACATACGCATTATCTAAGATCAGACGTCAACAGAATCACCAGACATAGATAATTAAGATGTGACATACTTTGTAGGTTATATGGCACCCGTACCTGAAATGAAATTTAGTAAATATGAAACGAAATTGAGATGACCTCCTGAAATATATCTAGAAAAGATTTATTTAAAAAAATTATATCTACAGGCGTTTTTTGCAAACACAAAAACGACATAGGTGCAGTCCAGTATACCTAACTTAACAGCGAAAGAACACAGGTTTGATCTTTATACCATAATAACTCATTTGTTGAGCAGAATTAATTGCAAGTGTTGTTAAGTGTTCTTAAATAGCCAGACAGTGATATCAACATCGTCTAAACAGTACACTGCGTCAAAGTATTGGCTCGTGATAAATTGTATTTCAGGGAATTGGATATATCCACAGAGCGACCTTATTCTTAAATAATTACTTATCAGTTGCCAAAAACCCAGGTGTATACTTCGACTAATGGCAGGAGCTATTTGCAACTCAACAGCTTCACAAATAGATTCTCCAATAAGGTCTCATAGAGTAAAAATTTTTGAGAAAATGAAAGTAAAAAAAATTGAAAAAAATACTTTCTGGACTTTTAGTCCAGAAATCAGTCCAGATCAGTTTTTAAAGCAAAATATAGAATTGGAGTAACAGCTTTATAGTTTTAGAAAAATTCGTTTTCAATATCTTTTGCTGCCAAAAAAGATTAGCACGTGTCAAAATCTTTACTAAATCAGAAAGTTATTGGATTGCCAAATAACAAATATATAATTTGATAGACATATAACTAATATTTATGTTTTTCATCTTCCTATTTTAAATGGGAATTGTTTATGATTTTAATAATCCTCAGTAGATAGTAATAAAAATTAATGACATACAGGGTGACCTTTTTCGAGTTGCACCATTAGGATCTCGCTGATCTTGATTATCTTAAGAGATAGAAGGTTTGTCAAATTAGGAAGAAGTTACAAAATTTTATAACGAATAACTTGACCTATCTTTTTTGTTTATCTACACTAAAACCTGAAAATTTATATTTTTGTTAACTTTTTTGTTTTTCGTCAGAATAATAAAATATCCATTTGTTACTTCAAACGATTTTGAC